AAATTAGTTAGCCACTACTAATGTATAAGCCAAGACAGTAAATTCAGCTTTTAAGTTTGAGGTTAACGTTTGCGGTATAAATTTTACACATCGATCCTGATATATTTTATTTCTTTTTAGGGGTCGGCTATGTTGCGAGTAACGAGCTGCGAGTTGTGGGCTGCGAGTTGCGAGCTGCGACTCGCTAGCCTCGCTTTGAATTAGGCTTTGAAAGTATATTAATATGGACGACATGGAAGGCAAAGTCGAAGGGTTTTTTGTTTCATAAATATTAATGACCTTCGAAGTTAAGTTCCCTGTAACTAAATATATATATATATATATATATATATATATATATATATATATATATATATATATATATATATATATATATATATATATATATATATATATACTTTATTTAAACACGGGAAAAAACCATCAGTACATCAAAACGATTGCTATTTACAAGTTTGTAAGTATAAAAATAAATGCAGTGAATGTTTATTTGAAAAGCTTAAAATTGGCGCCAAATTGAGACAAAGCTAAAATACCATCCGCCAGGATGCCATACAGTTTTCAATTTGATTTTTTAGTGTAAACCATAGGTGTAAACACCTGGTTCGGTGCTTCAAAGCTAAGTTAGTGTTAACCCTGGGTTAAAATTAAACCCGATATTATCAGAAATTAACAATATACTCGCATCGTGCAACTCGCAGCTCGCACTTTAGATAATCTCCTATTTTTATAATATGAATTTTAATACACATACCCTTGAAAAAATTTCTGCATATTTTTTTATGGACCACCCTTATGATTGCACTTAACTTTCGATGACCCACCCCATCAACCGTGCTCAAAAATAGTGACCCCCCTACTTTTCCCACCCCACTCCTCCCCCCCTTTTACTTTATGACCAGTCCCTTATATTTCTTCGCTCGCAATCTCGTACCCGGAGTATGCCTGTTCGCAGGTTAGGTGCTGGGCATGACTCTGGAGAAACGGAATTAAATTATCAATTTCATTGGCTGGCGTGAGATCAATGACACCGATACCGGAAATTGGTGTTCAAGTGCGGGAATTACACGTGGAAATTCTCGAATACGACGTAAACAAAGTCGAAAATACATTTATTTGCAAGATTTCAAATACAAGTTAAATGTTACAGAATTAATAATTCTGATTGAGGATTTACGTACGATCTATACACTTTTGTATCTTATATTATGGCATAAATCAATTAATACCGATATGAAAGTGACTGACATGGTTGAATTCCCGAAACAAATGTAATAAAATATTTACTTCAATTCAATTGCGCTAGTGATTGCCAGTGTTGGGATTTTGACTTGTCGTTCTGGACCTGTGTTTGGACATAGCGAGCATAGATTTTTTGTGTGGATATAAGACTATATTTTCGAGTATACCATAATATTCATATAATTATATAGATATATTAAAGTATTAAATTCTGTGACCCATAGATCTGTTACAAATATATACTATAGTAGTGAAATATGAGATGAAAGTAGTATTAATTATATAACAAATCTACTGTAAATTTTATACCCTCCACATCCTCTCAAATTGAGATTAGAACAAAGAAATACATATGACTGTGCTGATTGTTAATTATGCCTGAAATAAATGAGCTGCTTGGCCAGCTTGGAGCTTAACAGAAAATAAACAAACAGGACAGCAGTGTAGGGTGCAAACACTAATGTGCTGAAATTATATATGCTAACAATACCGGTATGGCTACGACAATGTCATAGTGGCATCTTACATTGCAACATTATATAGTTAACATACAGTACATATTCAATGGGAATAGTAACTATTTACCTTGACTTGGTCATACGCCTGTTGCAGGTATACATCAGCACACGATCACCCAGGGATATGCAGCAATGTCAGGAGGTCAGGGTAATGTAGCTTACCCCATAACCCCAATAATGGCAGATTTCCCAATCATTGCCCCCAGTATTTGGATAGGCAATTTGGCAACACCCTGCCTTGGCTGCCACCTTTCAGACAGGCACCCAACCTGATGACATTGTTCTGTGTTAATTGTTAAACCCAATATAGTTATGATAATATTATATCAGCTAAAACACTTCAAAGTTCGAACAGTGAACACTGTGTCATAATTCCATTTAATTAAGTTATTTTCAAGCATCAATAATTGTGAACATAATTTTTTATGACTCAATTAAATAAAGGGGAAGTATTTTCATACTCATTTTAAATATCACTACATCAAGACACCAATTAAAGTATTTAATTGTAATAAACAAAGTAGGCTAACCAGCCACAGGTCCACAGTGGCACATCAAGCATTCTAGATGTTTTAATATTATAAAAACTATCTAATAGTATGTAATAATCTAGATCCTCTAAACCTCTGTCAGTGGCCTTCTTGCGAAGTCTCTCGATACCATTTCTTGACCGTATAAAAAATCCATAAAAATGCTTAGTTTATATACACCGCATATATATATTTACACTGTAACTTTTAGCACAAGAAAATAAATCTTTTTCAATTGATTTCAATGGAAAAAGTATCAAATTTTCGACCAATTCTACGATTCTATTTATAATTGCAACTATTGACGCCCGCGCGAATTCAGTGTTGCGGTTTGAGCATTAGCATGCGCACAACTAACCTGATATCCAAAATTGGATACCAAAATTGGATATCCGGTATTCCGTTTCTCTAGAGTCATGCCCACCACCTAACCTGCGAACGGGCATACTCTGGGTACGAGATTGCTTCGCTAGTTGTACAATGTACACGCCTTGCTTCAATTTGATAGTTGACAGTTTATTTATCGCAGTCGACGCTGATTGGTTCGCGTTTAGCAGATGCGAAAAGGGCATGATTGAAATGAACAAATTTCGAACATTGTTTCTATACTGATGAAAATAATTATTTAGTTTGCCAACAACGTGGAGAAGTTGGCACAGAATTAGACTAAATGTTTGCGAAAAACAGGAAAACCAGAAAAGATACGTCATCGGAAAACCAAAATCTTGTTTACTTTCCTGATCAGCCAATTGGCACAACTGCCACAAGATTAAGGAAACCCACAGAAAAGGAAAAGCAATACCAAAGGGAACTTTTGAGCCAAAAACGTCAAACATGTTACCGCAATTTGTCAAGCCTTGTACAAAAGGCATATGAAATACTCGATGCGGAAAAACAAATAAACACGCTTGAATCCTTAGAAGGTATACGAGATGCACTTGATAGTTGATAAGTCAAAAGAGGAACTTAATCATAATTCATGCACAAAATAATTTGTATGAATCGCTTGAGGTGGTAACATGGAAAAGTCGGAGTTCCGGACGTAAAAAATATGGAAAACACGGAGTTCGACGTATTGTCAACGTGAAATATGGAAATATGAAAATAATAATTTTCTGGTTATTTCTCTAAAATGCCGTGAAAATATCGATTCATATTAAATATAATCAAGCAAATGACCTCGTTTCTCCTGTAGTATTTCATAGTCGATTCAAGCACATACACAAAACTCCTTGGCAATAGCGTGCAGTAGGCTTTGACGTTTTGACGAGGTATACCGGCGCTGAAGTACTGAAAGCATGCCGTGCCATATATATTGAGCAGTACACCAAGAAGCCAAAATAATACCACTGTATATGCATGCAGCCAACTTATTCATATAAATTCGTGAGGTATAAATGACTGTACAGTACTGAGGTGATAAGCATAGCATCTTGAATGTTGGGTGCCAGTGTAGGTGACAGTAGGTATAAACAAAAAATACAATTTGCGGACTTCGTGTATGTTGGAATTGTCTGAAAAATAGAGCAAACTTTGACATTTTGAGCGTATTTTTATGGTGATTGCATCATATAAACATATAGCGACTGACTGATATACGCGGCGGGTTGCTTGGGTTATGCAAGGTGCAGAATAATTTGATATTACTCCTATTAAATTTCATATTGCATTAATCTTTGACTGATTTGAGATCATCATGCTAATGAACCAAGCTGGTCGTCACCTGGTCTAAGTATTGAGGGTAAGCTGTAAAACATGGAAGCTGAAATCTTGGAATCCTGGAATCTTGGAATCTTATCATATAACCGCAAAATATGTTAGTATCAAGATATTATTATTATACTTATGCAACATATTGTTCTGCATGCGATAATTTAATACATGGTGAGTTAGCAGAAGCAGACCTTGGTAATATATTATCAGTATATACTATACGCTGCAGAATTTAGTATCTCCATCTTGATGCCAATACATAATAATACAAACGCTGTGCGCGCATCTAAATAATATCGTCGGTTTATGATGAGAGCTAAAATATGACCAGGCGGGAGGCAACTAAAGAAACCACATACAGTAATATATATATATATATATATATATATATATATATATATATATATATATATATATATATATATATATATATATATATATATATATATATATATATATATATATAACTTGTTTTGTTGTAGTAGATAATAAAGTGCTCAACACTAGTATTATAGTAGAGCAAGATATATTTATATCTTAAAATTAATTATTGCTACTCAAGTTTCACGCCTTATTCAAGACGATCTTCAGGCAATTAACTCAGTTAGTGTTTGATTCGTCAATCTCAACGGTCGCTCGCTGACGCGGAGGTTTGTCTATCGTCACCGGTTTGAATTTGCACGCGCTAAATTTTTCCTTCTGACAGCACTTTGCATAAAACTCTGATCGTGTGTTCAGTGAATTGTTTCCTTTCGCTTTCAGGATACATAATTTCTATTCCAAGCAGAAGCCACATCGCTTTCCACCAGGCGTGTACGCAGCAGCTCGTTTCAAGATGGACCACTTGATGCTGCAATTTTTCTACTTTGCTTCAGACTCCAAACGTACTTCGAAAGCTTTGTGTCAGACGAGTGGTTGTAGAGGTTGAATGACGTCTTGTGGTTGGCGTATCTTTCTTTGAATGGGTTGGCCGTCATTCCAATATACTCTTTTGTATTTCCGTCATCACTTGTTGTCACCGTAGCTTTGTAGACAATGTTGTCTACTTTGCACTTTCCGTCTAGTGGGCATTCATCTGGTTTTTGGCAGTTGCATGGGATAGGTTTTTGTGCAGGTGTTTTCTTTTTACAGGCGATGGTTATGTCGGGATATTATGGTTTTGATATTCTCCATGCAGGAGTAGCTAACTTTGACTGTGTTGCGGTTAAAGACCTTATGGAGCGGGTTGGTAGAAGGGAAATGTTTATCAATTAACTGTAGGAAATTTCGACCGATGTTAGTTCGAACTGTCTTGCTGAAGGGTGGATTAAACCAAATGATGTTTCTACGACGTCTTCGGTTGGTAGATGGCAAACTGGAGGAATTATCACAGGCCGAGTATTGCAGAGGTACATCGTAGTTGCTGCGCTTAAGCGCATCTTCGTAGAATGGTGCAGCAGAGTCAAAGGATGCTTGATCGGAAGAGAGCGAGGAGATGCGTTTGCTGATTGAGGAAGGGATATGGTTGATGATAGAGGGTGGGTGGTTAGATCTATTGTCGACGTAGAGAGGGTCATTGTTTGGTTTCCTGTAAGGTGAAAATGTTTCGTTTTTCAAGTCCAGAGTGAGGTCGAGGAAGTTGACAACATGATGGTTCACCTCTGCTAAACAGTTCGAACTAACATCGGTCGAAATTTCCTACAGTTAATTGATAAACATTTCCCTTCTACCAACCCGCTCCATAAGGTCTTTAACCGCAACACAGTCAAAGTTAGCTACTCCTGCATGGAGAATATCAAAACCATAATATCCCGACATAACCATCGCCTGTTAAAGAAAAACCCTACACAAAAACCTGTCCCATGCAACTGCCATAAACCAGATGAATGCCCACTAGACGGAAAGTGCAAAGTAGACAACATTGTCTATAAAGCCACGGTGACAACAACTGATGACAGAAATACAAAGGAGTATATTGGAATGACGGCCAACCCATTCAAAGAAAGATACGCCAACCACAAAACGTCATTCAACCTCTACAACCACTCGTCTGACACAAAGCTTTCGAAGTACGTTTGGAGTCTGAAGCAAAGTAGAAGAAATTACAGCATCAAGTGGTCCATCTTGAAACGAGCTGCTGCGTACACGCCTGGTGGAAAGCGATGTGGCCTCTGCCTGGAAGAGAAATTATGTATCCTGAAAGCGAAAGGAAACAATTCACTGAACACGCGATCAGAGTTTTATGCAAAGTGCTGTCACAAGGAAAAATTTAGCGCGTGCAAATTCAAACCGGTGACGATAGACAAACCTCCGCGTCAGCGAGCGACCGTTGATATTGACGAATCAAACACTAACTGAATTAATTGCCTGAAGATCGTCTTGAATAAGGCGTGAAACTTGAGTAGCAATAATCAATTTTAAAGGTGATCTACAGTCCGTATGTAAACAAAGCCTTTGTTTACATTTTTGCGTCCAAAATATTGAGCTTTATTCGACAACTATTTATATTTTCAAGCTTCTAGAGTATAATAAATGATCAAGAAACAACAATCAGGCTTTGCAAGAACCCAAAACATAGTTAAACTGTTTGTATAAAAAAAGTGGGCTCTTTTGTGCACATGCGCAGATCGGACTGTAGATCACCTTTAAGATATATATATATATATATATATATATATATATATATATATATATATATATATATATATATATATATATATATATATATATATATATATATATATATATATATATATATACAGGGTGTATCAAAAAAAACTGAACAGATTTAAAATTGCTCTCAATTTTGCAAAACAGCTATTTGTATCCGGTTTTTTATATATATGGCCTCTTTGGGTACTTATAATGTAGAATAATGAGAAAAATTTCTCGAACTCAAATTTTGTGAACCAGGGGGGTGTGTCTTTTCCAGCAAACTAAAAATGGCTCGCGCACAAAATTTAAAAGCTGCAATCATATTTTGAGTTAACAGATGGACAATTTGTCGGGCTTTTAATTACTGTACAAAATTTCAGATAATTTGGTTTAGTTTAAGCCCCTTAACTATTCACGCAAAGTTACATTTTTCCTAAAAATCAGCTATTTGCATGCTTAATTAATGCATTTGCCTAATTTGCATATGTCAGCAATATGCAAATTAGGTAAAGGCATTAATTAAG